TGTGAACAACCCTTAATGACCAATCTGGCCTTAAATTTATCTATACTACCGTCAATTTTATATTTGGTTTTGAATACCCATGCATTTCGTAATGCAACTTTATCCTGTGGCAAATCGACTAGAGTCCAAGTCTGATTTTCGTGTAATGAATTAATTTTGTCGTTCATAGCATTATTCCATTCATTTTTGTTTGACCCAGTAATTGCCTCATCATAATTCAATGGACTGACACAGTTAGCAATAAAAGTCTGAACATTATACCTGTCCGGCTTCTTAAGTGTATTCCTGTCACGTAGAAACATAACATATCTATCATTGACTATGTTTTCGTCCTTCTCACGCACGTCCGTTGAATTAATTTGAGTGTCTGTAAACTCTAATGTGTCTGCAATTACATTTTCATAATTATTACATTCGTCTTCGAATATAATGTCTCTGCACACGGATATTTTCGAATACCATATATGATAACCTTTCGTGCTGTTCGAATAGCCAACAAATATTCCTTTTTCACTTTTTGGATCCCATTTCTGACGTAGTGTACGTGGTATGTGTGTATATACCGCAGTACCAAAAACTCGTAAATGTTTAATACCTGGCACGACTTTATACACATAAATCTGCATGTATTAAATCGCCGACGTTAAAATATTCGGTCTCACTTTTACTGAACGATTGACGGTGTTGTTTCCCGATTATGCAGTCGCTGCATACAAATTGATCGTCCTTGGCTGAATAATCAATATTATGTTTTGCCAAACAATTCCTCAGGTATTGAATATTCTGGTGAGCTAAACTCTTATGCCATACTTCTAATCGTTTTTCTACTGCAATGTTCTCATAACATTCAGCTTTCGACGGTGCTTCGACTTTGATCTGTAATTCAAACAACCTACCGCATCTTGTGCCTATACATACAGGAATCCCGTTTCTTTTGAACACACACGTTTTACTGTCTGACGTTAGTTCTAAACCTTTGTCTAACGCTGACCCGCACGAGAATAAATTAAATTTTAATCCCGGCACGTGCAATACATTTGCCAAGTAATTTTTATTCCAATTACCGTTCACGTATGATAATATATTAATATTACCTTTTCCTGTTGCATACAGATTTGTTCCGTCACTTATTGTTACCTGTTGTGTATATTTCAATGGTTCATAACTTGTAAACCATTCTAGGTTCGCGCTCATATGATCCGACGCGCCTGAGTCTAAAACCCACGTATCTGTTGTAGTTTCATTTATCCTTGACTCGCTTACAAATGCATTTAAATTTGTACCTATAGTACCGGATTTCCCACCTTTCATACTACTTAGAAAATTCTTACAGTTTCTTTTATAATGACCAATTATACCACAGTAATAACATTTAACATTACTTTTATTAGTAAATTGCTTTTTACCTTTACCATAACTGCCGTTTTTTCCATCGGATCTGTTTTGAAATTTGGCTGGAAATGAACTCGATTTCTCTTGTTCACCAACTTCAACTTTGATCTGGATAACCCGTGATTCTTCAATAAACAACCGACTAGTTAAATTATTTATATTTTTACTTCCCGTTGGGACTGAATCCCAAGCACTGTAAAAATGATTATATTTTTTTGGTAATGTCATTAGTATTTTTGTCATAACCATGTTATCCGTAACTGGTTCACCCGCTACTCTCAGTTTCCTTCCTAAATTGACCAATTTAGAAATATGCGTCAACATGTCATCTGTCAGCTCCTTTGAATAACTGAAAAATTGTTGTTGAAGCAAATGTATACTTGCCTCAGACTTCTGCTCGTAAATACTCAGCAGTTTCTCCCTCATTTCCAATGCAGTCTCACAGTTAATCAAATATTGTAATGGACCATCGTCCACTGAGGTAACTATTATTTTCTGAAATTTACCGTCCGCTTTTTGCCAAGCGTTTGTACTTTGTATGCCTTTGCAAACGTGCTTTGGCATCCTCGTCGGTCTCTGCTGCCGACTTTTTTATAGGTAGACTTGGTTTCGTCCATTCACCTGAAACTATCTCACCTACTTCCAAGGCATTTAGAATGACCTTCATCTAGAATTTCCATAACGACCAGTTTTCAGCACATCATTTTGTTATCTTCACCGTGTCTTCCATGACCGATGATTTCCCGTATACTTGACCTATATAACAATTTATAACAAAACTTAGACCACTAGACTGTATGTCTTGGTTATTGTCTGGGCCCATAACCTGTTGAAAGTGAAGCTTGACGGACTAATGATGTTAGCATTAATATAATAAATAATAACACGACAATATGATTATGTATAAGTATAATATATAATAACGAACTGGACAATTAACCTGTGACTATACACACACACCGCGTACACTCGGTATGACAGCGTCTGTGCAAGTGATTATTACATACATCAAAGGCCCTATTTATATGAACAATCGAGGCCATCCGTATATAATATAGAAAGCGATAGTAAAGGTGTTACACAGCTATATCGTAACTGCATAAGTATCTATTAGAAAACGACATTGTACACGCACGTGTGTTTACATGGTTTGAATACTAATATTAATTGTATATTTCAACAATTTTGTTAAGCTTCAAGTACACAGTGCTCATTAAAATACGATAGCTTAAAGTTTTAAACAATATTATAATAAAATAGGTAATAATTGTGGTAATAACTAATAGGTACCGTACACTTGGGTATCTTTGGTGCGTGGTTCTATAGGTATACTCGCTGTGATAGATCGGCGATCTTGAGCAGTGCCGCACATATAGAGCCAAAGACCTAGGTGCAAATAAATGTCTCTCTTGAGCAGTGTTTCCCAACCTTTTTACCACCACGGACCATTTAATAATGCTTATAATTGATTATCGATATCGAAAGACATTTTATCAATACGAGCTTTCACAGTATTATTAGATAATGGAATTCCTTGAATTTTCTTTTTAGCTTCCGCACCTAAAATTTCTTCTAAGCAGTTAGTGAACAAGGTTTTAATAAATTTTCACCAATTGAGTGTGGTTTCTTTGATTTTGCGATTAATTGTGACATTTTAAATGACGCAGATAGAACTTTTTCGTTTGACTCTAATCTTGAACCACTTGTTCCTAGTTTAATTTTTTTTAATTTTCTGATTTACCCATGAGAAACTGGTGGTCGATCACTTAATTTAGGATGGACACTTTTT